AATCACAGCAGAAAAGCTGACTCTCGAGGAAAATTCTTCCCAAAAAGTGACGAAGAATGGCGTTATGGCGTTTTGGAGGGAAACTCTTTGATTTGATGTTGAAATCAAGTTCATTAGTGCACAGACTAACCCTCTCTTTTTTTCTTTTGCAGTTTTTTTTCTTTCTTCCCTGTCTCTTGTCCGAGTGTACTTGCAGGTATTGACGACGGCCGGGACGGGATGTTCTCTGAGGGTCCGCTGTTGGGGTTTTGTGAGTTGAGTTGTGCATGTTTAATTTCATGCTTTTTCTTAGAGTTTTATTGTGTAGTGGGGCCCCTGTGTTTGTATGTATAGGTGTTGAAGTCAAAGACTTGCTTTCCAAAATGCAACATAGCCATTTGGAATACTGGTGCCAAATGTCTAGAGTCTTAAGACTCCAGAGAGTAAATCACAGCAGAAAAGCTGACTCTCGAGGAAAATTCTTCCCAAAAAGTGACGAAGAATGGCGTTATGGCGTTTTGGAGGGAAACTCTTTGATTTGATGTTGAAATCAAGTTCATTAGTGCACAGACTAACCCTCTCTTTTTTTCTTTTGCAGTTTTTTTTCTTTCTTCCCTGTCTCTTGTCCGAGTGTACTTGCAGGTATTGACGACGGCCGGGACGGGATGTTCTCTGAGGGTCCGCTGTTGGGGTTTTGTGAGTTGAGTTGTGCATGTTTAATTTCATGCTTTTTCTTAGAGTTTTATTGTGTAGTGGGGCCCCTGTGTTTGTATGTATAGGTGTTGAAGTCAAAGACTTGCTTTCCAAAATGCAACATAGCCATTTGGAATACTGGTGCCAAATGTCTAGAGTCTTAAGACTCCAGAGAGTAAATCACAGCAGAAAAGCTGACTCTCGAGGAAAATTCTTCCCAAAAAGTGACGAAGAATGGCGTTATGGCGTTTTGGAGGGAAACTCTTTGATTTGATGTTGAAATCAAGTTCATTAGTGCACAGACTAACCCTCTCTTTTTTTCTTTTGCAGTTTTTTTTCTTTCTTCCCTGTCTCTTGTCCGAGTGTACTTGCAGGTATTGACGACGGCCGGGACGGGATGTTCTCTGAGGGTCCGCTGTTGGGGTTTTGTGAGTTGAGTTGTGCATGTTTAATTTCATGCTTTTTCTTAGAGTTTTATTGTGTAGTGGGGCCCCTGTGTTTGTATGTATAGGTGTTGAAGTCAAAGACTTGCTTTCCAAAATGCAACATAGCCATTTGGAATACTGGTGCCAAATGTCTAGAGTCTTAAGACTCCAGAGAGTAAATCACAGCAGAAAAGCTGACTCTCGAGGAAAATTCTTCCCAAAAAGTGACGAAGAATGGCGTTATGGCGTTTTGGAGGGAAACTCTTTGATTTGATGTTGAAATCAAGTTCATTAGTGCACAGACTAACCCTCTCTTTTTTTCTTTTGCAGTTTTTTTTTCTTTCTTCCCTGTCTCTTGTCCGAGTGTACTTGCAGGTATTGACGACGGCCGGGACGGGATGTTCTCTGAGGGTCCGCTGTTGGGGTTTTGTGAGTTGAGTTGTGCATGTTTAATTTCATGCTTTTTCTTAGAGTTTTATTGTGTAGTGGGGCCCCTGTGTTTGTATGTATAGGTGTTGAAGTCAAAGACTTGCTTTCCAAAATGCAACATAGCCATTTGGAATACTGGTGCCAAATGTCTAGAGTCTTAAGACTCCAGAGAGTAAATCACAGCAGAAAAGCTGACTCTCGAGGAAAATTCTTCCCAAAAAGTGACGAAGAATGGCGTTATGGCGTTTTGGAGGGAAACTCTTTGATTTGATGTTGAAATCAAGTTCATTAGTGCACAGACTAACCCTCTCTTTTTTTCTTTTGCAGTTTTTTTTCTTCTTCCCTGTCTCTTGTCCGAGTGTACTTGCAGGTATTGACGACGGCCGGGACGGGATGTTCTCTGAGGGTCCGCTGTTGGGGTTTTGTGAGTTGAGTTGTGCATGTTTAATTTCATGCTTTTTCTTAGAGTTTTATTGTGTAGTGGGGCCCCTGTGTTTGTATGTATAGGTGTTGAAGTCAAAGACTTGCTTTCCAAAATGCAACATAGCCATTTGGAATACTGGTGCCAAATGTCTAGAGTCTTAAGACTCCAGAGAGTAAATCACAGCAGAAAAGCTGACTCTCGAGGAAAATTCTTCCCAAAAAGTGACGAAGAATGGCGTTATGGCGTTTTGGAGGGAAACTCTTTGATTTGATGTTGAAATCAAGTTCATTAGTGCACAGACTAACCCTCTCTTTTTTTCTTTTGCAGTTTTTTTTTCTTTCTTCCCTGTCTCTTGTCCGAGTGTACTTGCAGGTATTGACGACGGCCGGGACGGGATGTTCTCTGAGGGTCCGCTGTTGGGGTTTTGTGAGTTGAGTTGTGCATGTTTAATTTCATGCTTTTTCTTAGAGTTTTATTGTGTAGTGGGGCCCCTGTGTTTGTATGTATAGGTGTTGAAGTCAAAGACTTGCTTTCCAAAATGCAACATAGCCATTTGGAATACTGGTGCCAAATGTCTAGAGTCTTAAGACTCCAGAGAGTAAATCACAGCAGAAAAGCTGACTCTCGAGGAAAATTCTTCCCAAAAAGTGACGAAGAATGGCGTTATGGCGTTTTGGAGGGAAACTCTTTGATTTGATGTTGAAATCAAGTTCATTAGTGCACAGACTAACCCTCTCTTTTTTTCTTTTGCAGTTTTTTTTTCTTTCTTCCCTGTCTCTTGTCCGAGTGTACTTGCAGGTATTGACGACGGCCGGGACGGGATGTTCTCTGAGGGTCCGCTGTTGGGGTTTTGTGAGTTGAGTTGTGCATGTTTAATTTCATGCTTTTTCTTAGAGTTTTATTGTGTAGTGGGGCCCCTGTGTTTGTATGTATAGGTGTTGAAGTCAAAGACTTGCTTTCCAAAATGCAACATAGCCATTTGGAATACTGGTGCCAAATGTCTAGAGTCTTAAGACTCCAGAGAGTAAATCACAGCAGAAAAGCTGACTCTCGAGGAAAATTCTTCCCAAAAAGTGACGAAGAATGGCGTTATGGCGTTTTGGAGGGAAACTCTTTGATTTGATGTTGAAATCAAGTTCATTAGTGCACAGACTAACCCTCTCTTTTTTTCTTTTGCAGTTTTTTTTCTTTCTTCCCTGTCTCTTGTCCGAGTGTACTTGCAGGTATTGACGACGGCCGGGACGGGATGTTCTCTGAGGGTCCGCTGTTGGGGTTTTGTGAGTTGAGTTGTGCATGTTTAATTTCATGCTTTTTCTTAGAGTTTTATTGTGTAGTGGGGCCCCTGTGTTTGTATGTATAGGTGTTGAAGTCAAAGACTTGCTTTCCAAAATGCAACATAGCCATTTGGAATACTGGTGCCAAATGTCTAGAGTCTTAAGACTCCAGAGAGTAAATCACAGCAGAAAAGCTGACTCTCGAGGAAAATTCTTCCCAAAAAGTGACGAAGAATGGCGTTATGGCATTTTGGAGGGAAACTCTTTGATTTGATGTTGAAATCAAGTTCATTAGTGCACAGACTAACCCTCTCTTTTTTTCTTTTGCAGTTTTTTTTTCTTTCTTCCCTGTCTCTTGTCCGAGTGTACTTGCAGGTATTGACGACGGCCGGGACGGGATGTTCTCTGAGGGTCCGCTGTTGGGGTTTTGTGAGTTGAGTTGTGCATGTTTAATTTCATGCTTTTTCTTAGAGTTTTATTGTGTAGTGGGGCCCCTGTGTTTGTATGTATAGGTGTTGAAGTCAAAGACTTGCTTTCCAAAATGCAACATAGCCATTTGGAATACTGGTGCCAAATGTCTAGAGTCTTAAGACTCCAGAGAGTAAATCACAGCAGAAAAGCTGACTCTCGAGGAAAATTCTTCCCAAAAAGTGACGAAGAATGGCGTTATGGCGTTTTGGAGGGAAACTCTTTGATTTGATGTTGAAATCAAGTTCATTAGTGCACAGACTAACCCTCTCTTTTTTTCTTTTGCAGTTTTTTTTTCTTTCTTCCCTGTCTCTTGTCCGAGTGTACTTGCAGGTATTGACGACGGCCGGGACGGGATGTTCTCTGAGGGTCCGCTGTTGGGGTTTTGTGAGTTGAGTTGTGCATGTTTAATTTCATGCTTTTTCTTAGAGTTTTATTGTGTAGTGGGGCCCCTGTGTTTGTATGTATAGGTGTTGAAGTCAAAGACTTGCTTTCCAAAATGCAACATAGCCATTTGGAATACTGGTGCCAAATGTCTAGAGTCTTAAGACTCCAGAGAGTAAATCACAGCAGAAAAGCTGACTCTCGAGGAAAATTCTTCCCAAAAAGTGACGAAGAATGGCGTTATGGCGTTTTGGAGGGAAACTCTTTGATTTGATGTTGAAATCAAGTTCATTAGTGCACAGACTAACCCTCTCTTTTTTTCTTTTGCAGTTTTTTTTCTTTCTTCCCTGTCTCTTGTCCGAGTGTACTTGCAGGTATTGACGACGGCCGGGACGGGATGTTCTCTGAGGGTCCGCTGTTGGGGTTTTGTGAGTTGAGTTGTGCATGTTTAATTTCATGCTTTTTCTTAGAGTTTTATTGTGTAGTGGGGCCCCTGTGTTTGTATGTATAGGTGTTGAAGTCAAAGACTTGCTTTCCAAAATGCAACATAGCCATTTGGAATACTGGTGCCAAATGTCTAGAGTCTTAAGACTCCAGAGAGTAAATCACAGCAGAAAAGCTGACTCTCGAGGAAAATTCTTCCCAAAAAGTGACGAAGAATGGCGTTATGGCGTTTTGGAGGGAAACTCTTTGATTTGATGTTGAAATCAAGTTCATTAGTGCACAGACTAACCCTCTCTTTTTTTCTTTTGCAGTTTTTTTTCTTTCTTCCCTGTCTCTTGTCCGAGTGTACTTGCAGGTATTGACGACGGCCGGGACGGGATGTTCTCTGAGGGTCCGCTGTTGGGGTTTTGTGAGTTGAGTTGTGCATGTTTAATTTCATGCTTTTTCTTAGAGTTTTATTGTGTAGTGGGGCCCCTGTGTTTGTATGTATAGGTGTTGAAGTCAAAGACTTGCTTTCCAAAATGCAACATAGCCATTTGTAGACAATTCAACATTGTGCATAATAAAATATACATGTATGATCAAGTACCGGTAGCTTTTTTTTGATAAAATCAATCAGTTTGTTTTTATAATACGTTTAGCTGCCTCATTGTTATGGCCTAATTTCATCCTCATTATCAGGTGAAATCCATTGTTTCAAATTGTATACTACCTCAATCTGCTGAAATGTTCTTTTTGTGGCATTTGTTCATGGAGGGTTAATCACTGGCTAAATCTTGCAAAATGCAAGAGTGACAAGTTATGCAAACTGTAGCATCAAGAATTATATACATGCCTTAAATTTTTAGATGTAATTTGAGGTAATGACAAATTGTAATACATGAACTTGAATTGGTTGTCATCGGCGATACTGATCAATTAGAGAAATGAAGGTACTTGTGTTGAACTAATTACTACAGTTTCAATGATTAGGGTAATTTGTTTTTTGTCAAGGTTGTCTTTCAAACAGAAATCGTGTGCAATATCCAAGGTAATTTTAAATACTCATGCAAGTATGATGCATTTGTTTTTGTAGGTAAAGTTCATCTCTGACGATTATACTGAAGAGATGTACATAACGCAGAAGATGCAGTGAGTTTATTGATGGTAAGTGAAAAATGTCACAAAAAGAACTGTGAAATAATGGTACCTGATGGATTATAACTAAGTGTAATCTGAAAAATGTTTCTTACATCAGCATACCCAAAATAATACCTAGTGGAGGAAAGATGAGGAAAGATGGTTTGTCAGACAGGTACATTTTGGAATGCCGCTGGATGACTTTAACATAAATATTTATCGTAGAGAGCCAACAAACAAGATAACTGGAACTTATGTGGATGGAGAAACCGAGCTGACTGAACTTCAGAGATGCTATGGGTCATCAACACCACCATTCTTCAAACCTTTAAAAAATCCTAGGACATGTAACAACCATCTTGCCGGATCATTCTCGCCCGGAGGGGACAACATGTCCTGAGCGCAATTGACCTTGCCAGGGTCAGGTCACGACCTGTGATGCCACCCAGGTCATACCAGAGGGAACAGGTCATCAAAGCAACGTACGAAGTAGGGGTCAAGGTGTAATTCCCTATGTGACCTATTTGGCACGTGGATCCAGCAGCTTTGGACGCTTCTATTTTTTCCAACCATTTTACGGTTTCTGTCCCCCACAGATGGGAAGACAGTGTTTGCTGACAAAAAAAGTTGAGAGCTGTACATGTGTACTTTCTTACGTGGGAGTATTTTGACACCCTCTTTAATTAGTGCCAGTTGCAATATTCCAGATTCGGCAATCGATTGCATTGTAGAACAGCTAGTAAAAACTCAACTGGATATTGAGATGCAAACGACCCAAGTAAAGTCTGCCTCACATGGACTTCTACCTGAAAAAAGACAGAAGTGCTGCACTTCTTCACACATACGCCTTGAAAAGAGCCACCCACTGCGTATCTCAATTGACAGAATGGAGTTGGTATGCAGATGAACAGTTTGGCTCTTTTGTAGCGGTAATGCTTGACAGAGATGTGGACAGTAAACTGATCAAAGGAAACTCTGCTTGTGGCAGTGTTTACAAACTTGTCTTAACCAAGAACATAAAGAAATATAGCAATACATGAGCATGTACTGTCCAAAGCTAGTCTTGCGTCTTGTCTATATGGTGCGGATACATACTGGGTTGTCAGCCTTTGATACCTGCTGCTCCTTTAGTGTGTTTCCATTACTGTTGCTTCTACACTAATGTGGACACAAACTGGACTGATTTCATCCGGGGCAGTAGAGGTCTCTAGTATGTTGCATGTTGAATTGAGAAAGATGTGTCTCCACGTTTCAGGATCATAACCTACTAAAGATTGTTCAGTACACAGAACTATGTACTTATGATCTTGACAGAGGAGCACTGTGGAAGAGATATGCAGACATCTTTAAAAATCTCTCATCACTTGCTGCATCAACCACTACTAGTGTGGAAGGCAAGCTGCTGATGATTGTGTTAGCTGGAGATTGGCCTTGTCAACCAGGCCCCCTACTTCAAAGGCAGCCTCAAGCATCGGCACATAATTGGAGAAGCAGCAGATGTTAGAGAAACTGTGATGCTTCAGCACTGTTTAGCATAGGCTGTATTAGCTACCATACTACCTAAGTGCCTTTCATGCAGACCTCCAGCTGACTCAGTGCTTGTGTACAGTCATCACCAACAAAGATGATATGATGGATGTGACTTGCAATAGACTGAACTTCTGATTCATTTGTACAGGTTTCTGTGCTTGGCCAAGTTACAGTGCCGTCATCCAGCCTTCAAGCATGGTTCAGGTGAGTGTAACTGTTGAATATTTTACTTAGATTGTATCATTGTAATGTAAGGAGCATCGTTTTGTCAGTTGTAAACAAAACCATTGAACTGAATCGAACTAAAATTTCACACAAGAAAGAACAATACACATGTATGCTTGTGATCATCAACAGCTGGTATAACATTGAATGTGAGATATTTGATATATTATGAGACATGTTATGTATCTTTCCAGAGGGAGTTTTGGGGGACACACTTTATTTTTTTTTTGTGGAACACCCTTGTGATGGATCCTCATGCATGTCATTCTCTTATCTGATTGTTTGTAGAAGCCATGAACCACAAATCAGCATGTTTCCTTCCAGTTTCCAATGAGCACTCTGACAGCATCACTTAGCATGCCAGTATTCAACATTGTGCAGGTGAGACAGATTGTCTGATGTTCTGGATTTTGGCATAATTATTATTATTTTTTTTTTTGATGTTTAAATTTTTGTTCTTAAAAAAATAAAATGAACTGAATTGTGTTTGGTTTGGATCATCTTCCCGGTGAGAATTTCTACTCTGGGGCTTGTGTGCAGACGCTGATTCCCATGCTATAAGGACTTGGGGCTTTCTGATGTTAATTGTGATCAACATAATGTGTCGCCTCACCTATACTTTTGTGAAGTGCTTAACTCAGCTGGTGATGTGTTACACATCATCTCGCACTTTTGTGAAAAAAATTTCATGCCACCAGACTAATATGTCAGACAGGAACGTGCATTGTAGTAAATATTTGTGTGCATTCCAAAGATAAGTATCATTAAAAACAACTGTACAATTGCATTATGCATCTAGCATGTCTAGGCAAAATTTCTTTGCAATAGCAATTTTCAAGCTAGAAATTTGTGATCATTTCTCTGATTACTGAAAATTTATATATGTACAACTTCGAAATACTTGCCAATTATGGCATAGGATTTGATGAAGAAGTAATCAATAAATCAATTAATTCTGTGTAGATCATCTCTGTAAAGATGGCTGTGTTGCTTCAGTTGCCACATCTCTACGTATGTTCTTCCTGTTAGCAAAGGCACACTGTGACAGCATATACTTTCTACATGCTAATACATGCACAGTATTGTTCAGGTGAGTAGATATTTAACTGACAATCTGTTGTGATTGTCACATTAAATGTTGCATGATTGCGGATGTAAAAGTTAAAAACTGCCTGAATAAGAATAACGGTTATAAAAGCTTTTACGCAAAAAAATGTATAAATTTATACTTCAGTGTGAAAAAGCTTCCACAAGTAAAAATATCCTGCCAAATGAAAATAGCAATTCTTGGTGTTAAAACACAAGTACATGTAGTCATTAAAGGGAATATACAACGTTTGCTTTTTCTGTAATTTTGTTGTACTGACTGTTTTAAAGTTTTGTGTTCGTAGATGCTGGAAAAACCAAGAAAAACAATCATGACCTTGTAAGCTGGTTCCCTGACCCCACTGAAATTGAATGGTGACAGTCAGGCTAGCTTGTAGCCATTCATGGGTTATATCATTGATTGCAAAGAAAATGTGGACTGACTAAATACGGTAAATTTGGGACAGTATGTGAAAAGAGTCAGATTTTCCAAAGGCTGGTCGGTCAATTAGTGTTGGAAATTGTACAGAAATACCACTTATCTTAAAAATGATGGCATACAAGGTGACATGATTTTATAGGATGCTTTAGACTGTCATTTACCAACAGTCCAGTAAGGTATCACATACTAATTTGGTAGTTTTGTTTTGTGATGTATGCAAATGTTGTATTTTCCTGATTTTTTAAAAAGGTTATAATGTTTGTACTTTGGACAACGATTGCACTTGGCATGTGGAGTCTGACATAAAAAGGCCTTGAATACATTTCTAGAAATAATATTACACTTTCAGTAAAATGCAACTTGAAGTGATCGTGTCCAATAGTTGCTGAGCAGTTTGCAAAGATTTGTTGTGCCAAAAATTTACCATGCATAATTTGTGTAGAGTGCTGTTTATGATCAAGCATTTCATGTTTTGTTTTATTCAGGGAAAGACATATGCAAACCTATCAGCTTCCAAAGTCGGCAACATCCTGCTGTCACTACAGTCTCAGCACCTACCAGCTCCCACTCTGTCAGCAACATCCTGCTGTCACATGTCCAGCTACTGGTACTTGAAGTTACTGTGTGCTTGTACATTCTCAGCACCTACTAGCTCTCACTCTGTCAGCAACATCCTGCTGTCACATGTCCAGCTATTGGTACTCGGAGTTACTATTTGCTTGTACTTTCTCAGCACCTACCAGCTCCCACTCTGTCAGCAACATCCTGTCCAGCTACCGGCACTTGGAGTTATTGTGTGCTTGTACATTCTCAGCACCTACTAGTTCCCACTCTGTCAGCAACATCCTGCTGTCACACCTCCAGATATGTGGAGTTATTGTGCTTTTACAGTCTCAGCCAGTATTGGATTGCAAGTTGTCTTATGCTGCTACAACCTACACATTTAGCATTCTCTTGAACCTTGAGGAACCACCATATGAACAAAGAGACTCTGAAACACTCATAATAAACCTGTCACGGTGGTTTGTTGAACATTCGTATTATTTGGAGGACTTGCAATTAGCTCATATAGTCAACTAGCTATTCCAGTCCTCTGGAAGAGTTAGTTGGCTGCTTGAGGTTATTCTATACTAGTAGCATGCCTTTTTTGTGCACGGTCAAGAGTAGATCGAGAAAGCAGTTGTTTTTAAGGGCAAAACAATTGTTCTTGTTCCTTGAAAAAGTTGGTCAAAACATTTTCCCAACCAATTTTTTTATTTAAACAGTAAGATAAAGGGCAACAAGGACTGTTTAATGCCATTTCTACTTGGTAGAAAAACAATTCAATGCTAATTTTTATCCAAGATATTCAAAGCTTTGGTGTTATTGGCAAAGAGAGTACCCACAAGAGTGGTTGTGACATGTACATGCAATACTGTTTGCAATGATTATGCTATTATTATGATAAAAATCGTGCAAAGTACGGCGTTAAAATGGGCTTTCTCCTTGTACATAGCACAATACATAAGTGATTGTGATCATAAATGTATTGAATTACATAAAATATGATTGTGGATAAATATTTGGTAATTTTGGGGAGGGGTGAGTGTAGGGGGGGGGGGGAGGGAGGGAGCATATTAATGCCGGTGCATACTTTGTCTGATTGCTATGAAAATGTGATATTATCAAGCATTGGCTGATTCATGTTCGCACCAAGTATGCCAGTGTCATGGTCTCACTTATCAGGTGTGCGCACTTCTCCAAAAGGGACATTTAACTTCAATACGCACGTGCAAAATTGTGCTGCGGCTGTACATTATCGCCAACCTTATTGCGTGTGCTCACTGCACTGTGTTTGTGAAGAAGTGAGCACATTATAAGTAAGACTGTGACACTGGCTAAGCTATGAATTGCTACCGAGATAATTGCCTACTTTTGCGTCATTTCGTCTATGTTAATTTAAGTATTTGTTTACAATATCATTTATAGATTAAACTCATTAAAGAGACACTGCAGCCTGGCAAATGCGCAATTGGGCTACAAAATGCATTTTGAGTCGAATGGTGTTAAGTGCTTGGGATATAAACAACTACACAAACATCCATTGAAAATCACCTGGGGGGGGGGCACTTTTGCAACCCTCAAAATATGTGTGTTCAGTGCTGGTTGAGATTCCAGCTGTAAACGTTTCACCCTCTGCGCACATCAACCGGATGTTTCAAGCAAGATATCGTAAACAATGCAAAACATGACATTTTCAAGGATTTCAGGGAACAATAATTTATGGAATTTTGAGGAAACATTTTTGCTATTTTGTTTGGTAGAATACTATTGTTTTATATTAAAGAAAATGCTTTCATACAAATAAAAAAATTATACAAATAAAAATGTGTTGTGTTTTTTAATCACAGATAGGATATGGTTATATCACATTTTAACCCATTAAAGTCCATGGCCATTTTATAATCTGCGTTGTTTCATAAAAAAATTGTGTATGTTGTTTCATAGCATCTTTTAAAACTCGTCATTCAACCCCAAAAAAATTGAAAAGAAAATGAAAGATGATGAAATACGCTTTAATTTGATGTGTGTCTTGAACACGTTGGAGAGTGAGTATTTTCCCGAATTTCTGAAGTGTGAGCATTTACCATTGGGGTCTATAAAAGTTTATTTACTGGTCTGCTAACTTTAAGCCACGTTAGTTTTGCGCACCGCGTAAACAACTTTCGTCTTACTCTATTGTTAAGTTTAAGGAATCGTTCAGTTTGAGAATACACTGTTCTAGTTTTCGGACCCAAAACCTCCAGCCAAACACGACGCAAATAAAAAAAACCAGCGGTGATATCTGCATGTACAGCTTCATGTATGTATTACGCAGACAATTTATTCAGCCACAAGAGGGCGTCCTTACATTTCACAATGCAGGTTCTTTAAAGATTCTCATTTTCAAGTTAAGCACACCTCGGTTTAACCACAGGCTGTGGTTTCATTGTGTGGAAATCATTTTGAAGTTTAAAGTGTATTTCATTGGAAAACAATGCTGAAAGTTCAAAAATAAAAAAAAAAAGAAAAAAAATTACATTCAATGAATTTCAGATTATAAGGAAGCATGAACATAAAATCTGTCAAAGTTAGCCGAAAATCGGCTAAAACGGTCACTGTGGACAGGATTAGACCTCGGCAACACGTGCGCTGCATGCGGCCGGGCTGACTTACATACGATGTATGTGCGTACATATATGTACAACGTACGTGCATGTCATATGCACATCGTGGAAGTCCTGTGCATGTTTTAAAGCTCTCTACCGCAACTTGCGCAAGGGTATTTTTAGCCGACGTCGCGTCAACTGTGTGAACAATTTGACAAGCTGGGAACTTGGCACTGTTGAGGCAAATGTTAACCCTATTATTTAATAGGAAATTCAAGATTATATCTGTACGGATTGATTTGTTAGCAATTTTTGAAAAAGGAAAGTTCTTTTCAACGGAACTTCCGGTCTGATGACGTCATACGCCTAAAACTTTGCACACGTCTTAAGTGGGTCAAGATCATCATATACACCAATTTTTAGGCGATTCCAGCAACTTTCGTTACGGACATCTATTCAAAATTCATTTTTGAAAATGTTCAACCTGTCGCTAGAGGGCGATCAAAGATTGCATGACGTCATCTGTAGATGATTTGAAGAATACGCTCAGCCAAGAGACTAACACCGTTGAAAGCAAGTTCATATCTATTACCCCTTTTAAATAATAAGCCACTTCCGGTTTTGGCTTTTTTCGACAGGAAGCAAGGGTCACGTGATTTCACGCACACTAAATGAAATAAAGACCTCAACCTACTCTACCACCTGCCGGCAACAGAATGCTGCGGACGCATACGGTTGATTTCTTATGTATTTTTAAATATTAAAAGTGTCACAATTTAATTGCCCATTAATAAACACCGGATGACGTCATCATGACGTCATCATTACACAATGTTGTTTGAGTTAGGGTCTTTCCTTGGACAAAGATTGGTGTAAATGAATTACTGGCAAATAGTCGAAAATGCCCTTTGAAAATCGACAATTTCTTTTTAATTTCTGTGTACAAAGTCTATGGTAAATATTAAATATTCAAAAAAAAAAAAAGAAAGAAGAAAGAAGAGAGAGAGAGGAGAGGAGGAGAGGAGGAGGAGGAAGGAGAGGAGGAAGGAGGAGGAGGAGGAAAGGAGGAAGAGAGGAAGGAGGAAGGAGAGGAGGAGGAAAAGGAGGAAGAGAACAAAAAAAAAAAAAAAAAAAAAAAAATGAGAACAAAAACAAAGGCTTTTTCGCAAATTTGCGAAAAAGCCAAAAATCTTAACGAAAACAAGAGCTGTTTCGGTGTGTCACCGAAACAGCTAAAAAAAAATCTTAACGAAAACAAGAGCTGTTTCGGTGTGTACACCGAAACAGCTAAAAACTTAAGAAAAGGTACAGCAAGGTTTTGATTTTCTCAGATGGCCGGCAGTGGTGTAGTGAGATCCAATGCTCGACTCTTCACCGGTGCTCTTTTCAGTGTCTCAGGAAGGTCGTATCCTCTCAAAAATAAAGATGGGTGAAGTTCATCAGGATATGGCTGGCCGTATTTAAAGTGGTTGCTGCAGACTGTAGTCGATGATTTTACTTTGAAATCCTGCCGTTAGGTCAGTTGAGTCCAGAGAGGGAAGTGTTTCTTATCCCTGCATGAGTGGAATCTGAGTGTGTTTACATGCTCTTTGATGACATCTATCAAGAGAAGAAGAAACGTAAGATAGAGATATTTATTGTTTGATGACGGAGAAAAAAAACCCACATAAGACTTCGCAATTATTTTTATGAGTAAAACAATGGAGTAGGCTAGCTAGCTAAGCCTACTACAGTACTAGCTGACTAGGACAAATATGTACATGTGTACATGTTTATTTTTTTCACATTTTCGTGAACAGAATATAAACAATCATGAAATTGTCTGTAAAAGTCACACATCGTTCGCTGACAGAAGTAACAATTAAACCATTATAAAAGCCACATATTTGTCCGATAAGAAAAGAGTCATAAAAGGGAGCTTTTGAGGGGCACAGAAACTTAAATGCATTGGCCGACACAATCATGACAGTGCAGAGTGTCCCGTGTTTCCCCGGTCGCGTGCCGGTCGTCGGCACATCGCGATTGCGTCGGGTCGGAACTGCGCGCTACTACTTTTTGTCGTGAGAACATTTTTTTTCTGTACATCAAAGTAAAGTAAAAATTCAAAGTAAAAATTTCGTTGCTCATTTTACTCATGAGTAGATGAGCAATGACTCACGAGTAAATGAGCAATGAAACTGAGTAGATGAGCAGTGACTCGTGAGTAGATGAGCAGTGACTCACGAGTAAATGAGCAATGAATTGAGCAGATGAGCAATGGAAATGAGAAGATGAGCAGAAAGTAGTTACTCACGAGTAAATGAGCAATGAATTGAGCAGATGAGCAGTGACTTATATATTAAACGTTTTTATCCGTTTCTTACCATTCGGAGCTTAACCTTCAAAACTGCAACATGAATGTTATTTCTGCAGTCAAACCTTATGCTTGTCACATGTGTGACAAAAGCTTCGGACGGAGATATAACCTACAGAGGCATGCAGACAATGTACATGCTGTAGATGATTCTGAAACAGATGAAGTTGAGGAGGATCATTCTGAACCTGATTGGCAAAGCCGTAGATTTGAAGATCTATATATAATATGGAAAACTATGAAGCTGAATCTACGTATGATGAAGACGAAGATCTTGAGGACGATGATTCGGAATCCGAAACGGAGGTGGAAGATGACGAATATCTGATGAAGACGAGTCTAGTTCTGATTTGGAAGACAACACCGCATATCGAGACTGGTTGAAAGAGTCCATAGAAGCCACCCAGGAGATGTGAGTGACAAAATTTAATATGAAAAGTACATTAACGAGGATATGAGATAAGATCAGGCCAAGGAAAAGGCCAACAGGAAGACCATGTGGGCAGTCGAGCGAATCTTTTTCAACAAATACAAGGATTTTTTACCTATATCTGAAAGACAGTGGCACTCATCAAGAAATCCCTCATCAACAGTACAACGCTCCACGTGCACTAAACCGACCAGCAAATAAGTGCAATGACATCATAATTAAGCGATGGCCCCCGAATCCATTCATGGCTTGGATATGTTCACAATGCAGGTTGTTATTGAAGCGATTATATAACGGTGACGATAATCCTTTTATCAGCTTCCCATGACTGAGTCGTCAACTCAGCGGTCAGATTCTTCATAATTCAATACTCTGCTCAAAATTGTTCCTCGGTACCGCTAAATCTCAAGCTCAGCATTGACGCACAGCGAGGCATATACAAGTACATGTATCTAACGTTCTCTTAGCAATGCGGCCACAAACAACGATTCCATACGGGGAGATTTTAAAAACACCGCGGACAATGCACATGACCGGACTTGTCCGGTTGTTTGTCATCATTCGATGAGTCAGCACTATGACGTCACTGGATTCCCCCATTCGAGTACAAAGGCTATTATGATAGAGTGGAAACAGGCACGAGTATGATATGCGGCTTGAAAAATCCCTTCAATTCAGATGTATATAGGGCTTTTTACTGTACTATACGTAAATTTATGTTATGTATTTGTCCCTATGTACATCGTATTGTTTTCACTGCTGTGATACGTATAATATTCGATACCGTAATAATGGTACGCGCCTTTATTATTTAAATTTACGCAAGCCCCTCCGCCCGTCACACTCCCCCGTGGTGAATGGTAGATTCCCGTTGCTCATTTTATGCTAATGAGGGTCACGTGGGGGCCAAATCCGGACTTCTGATTGGTCGAGAGCCCGTCAAAAATGGGGAAAATATCCTGGTTAGACGGGCTTCACTACTGATATCACCTGGGCGGTGTCATTTTTACTTCCCGGATGCGCAGCACAATCGGCCAATGATGTGGTCCAATTTGATCATGAACATTTATGAGGTGTAGTGATACATATTATGACTTGTGCGTGACAAGAAGTTGCCAGTCAAGTTGATCAAAAGTCAAACAGTCTGAATGTTATGGTCTGGAATACTTACAATTCAAATAATGTGGATTAGCAAGACACTGGACGAACTCAAGCTCCACTTGGAATCTGTTTTTTTCGGCATCTAGGCCCTCTAGTTTAAACAAAAAAGACAGAAGTTTTTTTGTTAGTTTAGTAGTTCACAATGACATCATGGGGGATGTCTTGGATGTCTACACGCCCATGCTTAGGAACTGTTGACACCACCTAATAATGTAGTGCACTTGGATTGTTTACAAGCGGCACCTTGCTTGAGCAAAATTGTTTCCCAAATTCCATGGAAATGAAATTT